AATGCCACATGCAAGGAGCTGTGAATAGCTGCTTTTAGGTGCTTTCGGGAGGAGAATAAAATGCAGAATTACAGCACTCTTCTTTTTCCCAGCGTCCCTGGCTGCCTGTAAATTGCTCTGAATGGGACTGTGGGCTGACAGGCTCTATTAAGACAAACTGTCTTTCTCATCGGAGAGATAAAATAAATCAGGTGTTTAGTCAAATTAAAATACTTCAGCTGGAGCAGGCCCTGGGGAGCACTGATCCACCTGACAAATCTGAGAGAAACTCAAGACAGATGTGATCTGGGGGATAAGGAAGAACCCATTGGAAATCTGGAGGTGGGGGAGGGTGGCATGGTCCTCCCCATATCTTTAGAGTTAGCAGACAGATCCAGTTTAAAGTCAGAAAAAGGTGCATGTGTCATGGGTAATATATTATGGAAATCGGTATCTTTATTTGATGAGAGCCATGGTAAGGATCGTCTTCACTTCACAGCAACTTTGGCCTGCAAATTCTTCATTATTTAAAAATAAATAAGAGATGTTCTTTTCAACTTGGCTTATTTATTGATAATTTATTAATTTATTAAGAGTAGCACAGCACGTGAGTAGCAAAGAGATGATGATGTGTATGATTAAACAAGAAACCAATCATAGCTAATTTATTTGTGTTTTATTTGCATTTGTACCACTGCAAATAGATTAGTGGGAATGGTGGCTAGGGAGTTAATTAATTATTGCCATTCCTCCCCCCCCCCTGTTTTTTCACTTCAATAGGAAAATATATGGAAGCCTGAGAAACCTGTATCAGTTTTCCTAAAGCCTCTTGGCTTCATATATGAAAAAGGAAAGCAGGGTTAGATTACAGCTGGCTTTGCAGTAGCAACTCTGTACAAGTGCCCTTGATGTATACTGTACAAGGCAATTGTGCAGCAGACAAAGTCAACTTTAATCCACAAATGTTATAAATGGTTTTCTACGGTAATACTTCATATTCCTACTGGGATACCTATGGCATTTCTGAGTTGACCACAATAACTCTTGAGATTGAGGCTTTTAAGACAAAACAAGAAAGGAAAACTCTTAAGGTTTCTTTCTAACATAGATGGAAACCTGATTTGCAGCTTTGGTGTCTGATGTCAGCTATCTTGCTATAGATGGAAGTACAATTTGTCCCAATGGAACAAAGTTTACACTATGCTGCAGCTAAAATTGACTACTTCCAATCAACATTATCTTAGTGCACAGGCTGAAATGTTGGTCAGGTGGGATGCCCAATATTCTATCCTGGCCTTATATCTTGCTGCATAACTAGTTCAAATTGAAATTATATTTAAATGATTCCCTTGTGCTTCCATGTGAGTTTAAATATACCTATCCCCGTCTCTTAATCCATGGTGCTGCCACCAATTTGCATTCCATGAAAGTCGAAATGGTTTCATCTAGGATGGTGTTAAAGCAATTCATATTAAACCTATTATAAAATGATTAGGGATGCGAAAGACTTAACCTGGGATTTGGACATGCAAAGCCTAACTTCTACTTGGGACATAGTGTATTTTTAGCTAGTATAAATGTGATTTGAATATCTGTGTGTCTTCTTGTTTATCGTTTTTCCATTTTTCATTATTTAATAGGATGCATAGATTCTATACACTTAATACTTTTATGAAATAGGATGATCAATGGTTTGCTCTAACCATTAATGAGCTCACTGGCTGAGCTATGTTAATACCTTGCACCCATTTTAAGGACCATAGTAAGCTATAATACATTGCATTGTCGGAATGAATGGAATTCTGCTAATTCAGACATTTGGTAGACACTCAGGATGCATCCAAAAAGTAGTGAGTGACTCAGTTTTAGTATTCGATTTGTTTATTGTTTAGCACATTTATTAGAAAAGGAAGGATAATGAAATACTGGAGCAGACTAAAATGTTAACTGTTAACATTATCCTGTTAGTTAATATTCAATCTTTACATTGTCTTTTTTGGGAAAAGTTGTGGAATGCATATTTTATTCCTGATATCTAAAATTGTGAAACTGTTCACAAATACACTTTTTGTATCAATGTTTAAAAACATTGATTGCATACCATTTTTTCTAACTATACAATGTGGAAAATGAAATGAGATATGTGTGAAAGTAGAAGTCTGCTTTTTTGGTCTAAATGAGGAGACTTTCCACAGGAGATATGTTAGCTGGCTTTGATTTTTTCCAGTTGCAATTGCTAATCCTTTCCTTTTAATACTTTATTAGTTGTTCAATTTAGTTTCTGAACTTCACTTTAATTTCAAACATGAAAGTGTAACATTACTATTAGTACTTGTAGCTGTGTACACTATAGCTTTTGTGCCTTCATTTTTTTGTTCAGAATATGCTGAACAATCTTACAGCTTTTCATATGTGGCACGCACTTATTTTGTTCTAGATTACAGAAGATAAAAAGAAAAAAGTCTTTGAAACCAAGTTGTTAAATTGTTGATATTTTAGAAATATGTTACTTGGTATAAACATAGTTTAAAAAGTCCTGATTTCAAGGTTAACTTTGACAGTATGAGAATATAGCTCAAAACTCACTAAAAAGTAGCAATGTCCTTGATTGAAACTTCACTCCTTATTGGAATAGCCATGCAGTTTTATTGATACCATAGTGGAAATACATTGCTGTTCTCTTCAAGTTTTTTTGTTTGTTTGTTTGTTTTGGGGTATCTCAGTCTACCAAAAGTTCTGAAATGATTATTCCCCCTGTTGTGGTGCGCCAGCAGCCTGCGGAGCTGGCAGCGGAATCGGACAGTGAGGAGTCTGGGGAGGAACATGGGCCAATCCTGGAGTCTGGGGAAGGCCTGGAAGAGGGTTCTGCGTCGGAGGCAGAGATGGGGCCAGGACCATCTGGGAGTGATGCGTGGACTCCGGAGCCTCCAGAATCAGACAGCAGAGAGGCAGAGGAACAGGAGGAGCCTGTTCGCAGTGTGTGCATGCGCAGAGCTGCCAGAAGGCACAATCAGTTAAAACAAAAGGGACGGCTCAGGAGTAAGGCCTAGAGATGATTGGCCTCTCCCATAAGGCTTAAAAGAGGAGCAAAGGCACATGGGCACTTTGCAGGAAAGAAAACGTTGCTAATTCTGTTCCCAGTTGGCATCTCTGTTTGATTCTAGAATCCGTGTGGTTTTGTCAAGTAGGTCTTTGTCAGAGTGTCAAGGGAGATAAAGGTTGGTGATTATCCTGAAGGACTTCTCCCAAACGACTTTTTACAACTAATTGGGACTCAGCTGTGAATGAACGTAATTCACAGCTGTTGCAATAAAAGAGGTTTTTGGGACTACTCGTGTGTTTTAATGACTCAGAAAGCCTAGGTCACAACACCCCCTCCAAATCCTAACTAGGATTGTCCTACTTAGTTTTTGCTGCTTCTTGTTGGGGCTGAAACTTGATAACTAAATGAAAAGCTGACAGGCTATCATAACAACATACCAATATAGTCTATAACTACCAGAGACACTTGAAAATTACTACTGTACAGATGTCTATGTAAGCTTTTACAAGCATTATTAGCTTCAGATATATATTCTCTCATTCTTAGTGCTTCAGATATTCTTGTAGGTAGTTTCAGTATATCCATGGAAATTTACATTGAAATGGTTTCCCGAAAGCTATGACAAAAAGAGTACATAATCTGATAATTCTGATATTAAATCATAATTTAATAAATAAACTATTGATAATCCTAGATAGAAGAAGCAGGTTAATGCAAATAATTTCCAGCTAATCCTTTCTACACCTGGTGTAGGTGTTCATAGCTGACATCAATAAAGACATGATGAGCTTCTGGGTTTAATTTCCATGGCCTAGGGTTTTGGGTTTTTTGTGTGTGTTGTGACATCAAATGAAAACTAGACCATGGGCATTCAGCCTGAAAGCTCATCAGTGCTTCAATTGCCTACTAATTTTAATTCATTATAATTGTGCTATGTGTAGTTCTCTTTCAACAGGTATATGTTTAAGGAATGTACAGGTAGTCCTCAATTTGTTACCTCAAGTGGGACCAGAATTTCCATTGCTAAGCAAGGCAGTTATTAAATGAGTTGTCCCTTGTTTTACCAACCTTTATTTGCCACAGTTATTAAGTGAATGATCACAGTTATTAATAGAATTACACGATTAAGCAAAGCTTCTTGGACGAGAAGCAAAATGTCTTCAAAGAAAAACACCAGAAAGTCCAGGTGCCTCTTGAAAAAGCACCTTTGGGACAATCATGACCTGGATGACTGAGAATCTCCATAGACATCTGGGAAGGTGGCAGATGATCACATGACCTGCGATGCTGTTATAAATACAAGCCAGTTGCCAAATGCCCCCTCCCCAATAAATCACTTAACCGTGGTTATGCTGTGATGCTTGTAAGTGTGAGGACTGGATGTAAATCACTTTTTTTCAGTGTTATTGTAACTTTTCATGATTTTTAAAAAATGGTTGTAAGTTGAGGACTACCTGTATAAACTAGGTTCAGTTTAGCTAGTTGGTGTCAATCCTAATGAAGGTTTATGTTAGGGATATAGAATGTATCTTGTCATGACCTATCAATGTATTCATTTCCTGTGAATGCTGGAATACTTTAAAAATAGTAGTCCAGATTTTTTTTTTTTAGTAAACAGGGTTGTTTTACATTTTGTTTATTTAAAAAGTATTTAATTGGGGAGGATGACATATTACTGTTTTTTGTGAACGCTGTAATTCATTAAAGAGCCATTATACTTAAGTGGAAGGGAAAAAGGAATGTACTAGTGCAAATTACCTAATTAATTTTACCTCTTTGTCAGAAGGGAGACATTATCTGTTTTCTCTTACCAGATGATAGTAGAAGATCCCTACCTGAAAAATGCAGTAGCAGAATTTATTAATATATGTCCTAATAAAATATTTAAAGTTCTATCCTTCTGTAGGCTAGAAATAGTTTTTTCCTTTGATTGTTTATTTGTCTGTTATTTATGCCCCTTCTTTTGTTTCTCCTTTAGGTACCCCTGAAAGCTTAGCAGAAAAAGAACGACAGCTCTCTGCCATGATTACCCAGCTCATCAGTTTACGGGAGCAGCTTCTGGCTGCCCATGATGAGCAGAAAAAGCTGGCAGCATCACAAATTGAAAAACAGCGGCAGCAAATGGATCTTGCTCGCCAACAGCAAGAACAGGTAAGTAACAAAATACTAACATCTAAAAACATTGGTGGGAAAAAACGTATTAGAGCTTATCTTGCACTCAGTCCTAATTTGAGAGAGAGAGATGGGCCTTGTGTATATGTTAGTGTATTAAATATTTTGGTAATCTATAATTGGATTCACAGTCTAAGACTGGTGGAAACTTAATCATTCAAGTCCTATTCAAGGATCTAAGAATTATTAAAGTAGCATCTAAGAATATAGGTAGTTCCAAGCAGAGTTTTTTTTTGTGTGTGTATAAAATTAGGGTATTCAGGTCCAATAAATTCAATATTCATTTTGTAAAATTAGGGTATCCAAGTTCAATAAATTCAATATTATCAGATGTCAAGGAAGTCCTTTACAATATTGTTTCAAGGGCTCAAATCATGATTGTTATAATCATGGGTTTCTTTTTCCATAAATGTTCAACTTTGATCTGCAAATCCCAATAATACTTTGTAATTTTTCCAATTTTTTTCCTCATCCTGGGATCACTTGGAATAGCAAAATCACAAATGAAGGAAAATATATGTGTCAGGATAATGTTGCGGGATCCAATCTGGGTCAGTCACCGGGATCAGAGATTTAGTTTTCTGAGCTGTTGGACTTGTGCGGGAGCCCATCCTTGGGGAACTTCTTCCTATCGGAAGGTATCAGTGGAGAGAAGTTCCCTGAGGAAGGGCTCCAGCAGGAGTCCAAAACCTTGGAGGACTAAACCTCTGGTCCTGGATCCTGCAGACTTTCTTCTTTTCAATAACTGTTATATCAGGCATGTTTATTAACAATAGGTGCCTGTTTGTTTGGATCTTAAAGTCCCATAATATCTTAACCCACTCATTTCCCAAACTTTCTCAGCTTGATGGTTCCAGTGGTTTTTACCACAGTCAGATCCAAATCTCTGGCAGTTTCCAAAGACTAATTCTGGCAAATCAATCATGATGCAGCTTGTAGCCCATTTGTGAAATTTTGCTGCAGTCACTGTTGAAATGGTCAATTGTTTCATCCTTTTCACTACAAAGGCAACATTTGAGGTTGCTTGTTACGTGTTGAATTATTGTCTTCGTGCAATTAGTTGGTAAAGTGTGTTCTTGAGCTGCTAAAATAGAACCTTTAGGGTTTTTTTTCTTAACACTCCTGATCTTAACCAACTCCATACAGGTTTTGTATTGTTATTATTTAGGTAGATTCTTGTTAGCCATCCCATTACAAATCTTAGAAATTTACCAGACTCTCTCACAGATGTGAATAATATGTTATTAATATGGATTATCTACTTTAGCACACACACGTACACACAAGTTTCAAAATACAAATTATAATCAGCCATGAAAGAATGTCTTGTTGAACCTAATAGGAGTGATAGTTAATAGTTTATTTAGAATTACATTTTTCCCTTTCCTAAGAGTTGAGTAAATGGTCCCGTAGGTTTTCATTAATTTTTGTCTGATAGAAGTAGATTACTCCTCTAGATTCCAATATTTCTAAAAAAAAATAAAAAATAGTTACCTCACTATAAGACTGTGTTTCCTACTAGTTCATAAGATAATTATTAAATAATTTAATTATATTTAACAATTATATTGACAATCATATTAAATAATTGTTAAAATAATTGGTAAATTATTTTGATAATTTGAAGTTCAAAAGAAAATTGAAACATACAAGAGGCATCTACATAACCATTAGAAATTTTGCATAAAAAAATTAAGAACAAGAGACACCATGAGTTCCTTGTGCATTCATTTTAAATTAATGTGCACTTTTTAGGAACCTGACTTTAAACCAGAATTATCGTTTCAGTTAAATATGTTTTATAGAGTATATACCACAAAGTATGCTCTGTTGATTTTAATGAGTTGTGACGTCTGGTATTTTATGTGCTTGAATATTTGCCCACATGTGAGGAATACGGACTCGTCCCTAATGGAAAATAACATAAAGGAATACTGTAAAAAATCAGAAGTTAGAATGTCATTTAGCCATCCAGAGATGACACAGTAATTAACTATTGACACTTGTGAATAAGCTAGCACAAATTAATCTTGACACATTTGCAGACGAGTGATATCTTACAGTGAACACTTTGTAATTATATTTCAAAATGAAAATTAAATGACACTTAAAACTAGGTTGTCATGCTCAATGAAGCGAGCATGTAGCTCAACCAATTCGCAAATAAAATTCAGGAGTTGAGCCACATGGTGCTCCTCTGCCATCTTTGGTGGTGTCAAGCCCTGTACATTGAGATTGCACTGTGGTAATTGCTGTGTAGCGGGGTGGATTTCTTCATTTCTCTCTTTCTCCTTAATCACAAACACCATCAATATTAGATGCTGTGTGACTACTTCACTGGCTTCCGTAAGGATATGAATATTCATTTGCTCATATATTGTACTGATAACTGCTGTGAATGGTGTACGGACATTTAAACTCTAATAAAATCAGCTCCCAAGATTTACAAAGTTTTGGTCATACCCTGGATACAAACTTTTAATATGATGCCTATCTCTGCATAGTTGCGTCTTAGCTATGGATTTATTCCCTCTACTGAATTTATATAATCTTTTTCGTTTAGCCCTGTCCCATTCCAGTCCTTAAAAAATGCTTATAATAACAAGATGCCACAATGAGAACAAATATCTTAAAATATTTAAAATATGATAAAAGGCAATATGCTAAAATATGGCATCCAACCCTGAAAGTAATTCTTCCTAAAATTACCGAAGAACCTGATGATGTACAGGTCTGGAAGAAAGAATCTTATAACCCCAAGGCAATTGGAGAAACTTTGAACTTATTTTAAAAGTTTGGAAAAAGAATTCTATAGCTTCAGATTCAGGAGAGTAATTCCATTTCTGTGTATTTTACCAATATCAAATAAAGCCCTATAGCTAGAAAAGAGACATGTTAATGACAAAAATAGCAGGTTAGCCCATTCTTCCATATGTATAGGAAGTTCTTTTTAACCAGCTGTAGGGACAAAAAGGCTATCCTCTTTTGTTCTACAAAGGCTACAGAATTCCATGCAATCTGAATATATAAATCTTATCTAACGTCCTTCTTTCTCAGTTTCCTGTGCTGTGTTTTTGCACTTTGGTAGAATTCCAGAAATATATACTGGAAAAGAACATCAGATAAAATGTATTGGGCAATATACTTGCCCATTATATATCCTATATCTTAAAATGACTTATCTGACATGTGTTGTTACGGGAAAAAAATTGAAGAAGTGATGCTTTGTCTGCCATCTTGAGGTTCTGAAGGAAAAGCAAGATTAAAATAAATTGACTAATAAATAAAATAAAGTAGACGAGGCTACATTGCATTTTGTAAATATTGTAAATTGCATTTTGTAAATATTCTATTTGCTGATTTTTTTCCCCTTGTCACATTAGGATTTCGTGCTGTCCCCAACCTGAAAGTAATTTAAATTCAATAAATCGATTCTCTTAAATAGTAGTGCAACTGAAACATAGTAACATAGCTTTACAACTGTTTCTTTATTTCAGTGTATATAACTCTGAACAACCAAAAGATATAATCACATATCTAAAACTCTGTGAGAAACAATGATACAATGCCAAACAAAATTCAAAACAAATACAGTAGCTGAGAGTAAAAAGCAACATAATACAATAAAATGTTAATCTTTTAGGACAACAGTGATAACACAATGAAGTCAAACAACAGCAATAATAATTATGGTTATTGTGTTTGTATTATAGATGCAATACACTTTTCTATTCAAAATATACCAAGCATAGGATAATAATAGGAAGTGAAAGTAATGCTAAAAATAAAGTTGAAAGAGAAATATAACTTTGTTGAGATAATAAATACATATATTGTTTCCAGTTCCAGGAGAAGCTTTTTCCAACAGTGAAGTTGTAATTAAATGATGTATACAGGTATATCAATACACTTCAAAAACCTGCTTTGGATAGAGAGTTCCAAATAACTTCACAAACTCATTTCCAAGAATGTAATAGCTTGTGAGAATGACCTTGGGAGCAGTGGTGGGATTCAACCAGTGTAACAACCAGTTGCTGAGCGTGCACGGTGCATTTAAAATCAGCTCTAAAACTGAGTAAAACAGCTGAGGCACGGCAATCTGCTGATCAGCTGGGTGTCTTCAAACAAAGGAAATATAGTTCAGTATAATACAGGGGTGGGCGGCTGGGCCCACCTGATCATTGGAGTGAATTGGTTCGCTCTCAGCTGATGTTCGGAGCTACCTGTTCACCCAAACTGGTCCGAATAGGCTGAATCCCATCCCTGCTTGGGAGATTGGGGAAATAGATGCTAGCTAGGAAACAGTCAGATAAGAGATGGCACAGCCCGCAGCTGCATAATGGGTGGAGAAAGAGGCTCAGAAGGAACCCCTTGTGTCAAAGTTCTCAGGAGGTAAAGGAGATGGAGCAGTGGTGAAATCCAAATTTCTTTATTACCGGTTCTGTGGGTGTGGCTTGATGGGTATGGTGTGGCTTGATGGGTGTGGCAGGGGAAGGTTACTGCAAAATCTCCATTCCCACCCAACTCCAGGGGAAGGATGTTGCAAAACCCCCATTCCCTCCCCACTCCTGGGGGAAGGATATTGCAAAATCTCCATTCCCACTCACTCTGGGACCAGCCAGAGGTGGTATTTGCCAGTTCTTCGAATTATTCAAAATTTCTGCTACTGGTTCTCCGAACTGCTCAAAAATTCTGCTACTGGTTCTCCAGAACCTGTCAGAACCTGCTGGATTTCACCCCTGAGATGGAGGGAGATTTGTACTTTCAGATTTGCAAGATTCTGTTAATGTAACCTTACATTAAAGTAAAATTAGTTCATCTGGCTGTATTTCCTATCTGGTATACCTTGGAAGGCTGACAAAGAATGAGATGAATTAAAGTGGGGCTGCCCCTGCCGACCTGAAAGAGAAGGCCCTTTGTCTAATCTGCTCCTGATTAAAGTGGCCATTACCTGATGGGCAGTTTAAAAATGTAAATTAATCAATAAAATGCATGATGACTTAACCAGGTATTCCTGATTACGTTTTAAAGATTGGGTTAATGAATAATATCTTTGAAACCTTCTTGTGGTGTTGTAGTTAACTCATGGAAGAGTAAAATTCGGTGTAGCAAAGCCTGCACATTTTAGAATTTATCAAGAGGACTTAGTTCTCTCTGAATAATATTGAATTTCAATATCTCTATTTTAATTTAATGGAAATTTTTATTTCCAATAGATTGCAAGACAACAGCAGCAACTTCTGCAGCAGCAACATAAAATCAATCTCCTGCAGCAGCAAATCCAGGTCAGTATGTTTTATTGCTCTCTGCTGATTATTCTTAAATTCTATTTAGAGGGAGGGGAGGCTTTAAAATAAAATTGCTTCTACTCTACTAGCCTAGCAAAGCTTCCAAAGGTCTGCTATTTTTTTTTTAAAGGTGAAAAATATTTCGGTGGAAGCTATATTTTCTAATAAACAGCTTTTGTTTGAAGGATATCCATTTGTTTTAAATTTGACCATTTAATGCTAAGGTAAACAGATAGTTTAACATGTGCTCCAGAGGAAAAATAGTGATTCAGTTGTTGTTTATGGATCACTTTATTACAATGAAGACTTAACAGCTTTCCATTGATAGAGTTATTACATAAATCATTTATAGCTCTTGCTGGGTAGGTATACAATAAGTGTTGAGGGCAGCAGCATTTTGTAGGTGGCAGATGTTATTGTATATGTGCCACGAGCACCAATTCCAGTTTTAATTTTGTATGGAGGAAGAAATAACATTCATTATAACATCCCTTCTTGAATGTATCCAAAGATAAATGATATAAAAGGTAATGTTATTTTAATGAATAACTGTTGTGGTTATTTCTTTTTCTTTTATAAACGTGTCACATCATGGCTATTGAAAGTTACCACTACCAACAAACCTTTTTTAAAAAAATAATAATAATCATAGCAACAAAAAAACTTCCTATTGCAAATGATTATGCACTGTGAGGGAAGATGTTGGATTGAGGAGCTCTTTGGCCCGATTCCACAGAATCATTTTTATGTTTTTGTGCAAAAAGTTGCAGTCTAAATTTTGTATTTGCTTTTATGTCTGAGAACCGCTCCTCTACTCTAAAATGGTACAATCCTGGAAAGATGGTTGCTTGTGCAGTTTCTGAATACCTTGTTCAGTTTTAACACCTGCTTTATTATGGGAGGATGAATGGATTCTTCTTGTTCAGACGGATTGTTTTGTAGTCCAAGAAATTGCTGAACTGAGAGTAAAAAAATCTGTCTACAATTTGCATAGTTAGTTGGATACTATTGCTGGCATCATAATATGCCTCCTGGTGGTCGTTCTCAGGGAAAGAACAATTTACTTCCAATGGCCACTATGTTCAGTGGTGGGCTGCAACCAGTTTAACAACCGGTTCTGTGAGCCAGTGGTGGGTTGCACCCAGTTCGGACCGGTTCTATAGAACCGGTAGTAAAACCAGAGGGAGGCTCTGCCCACTGACCCTAACGTCATCAGAACATTCACGCAGGTGGCCCTATTGCGAACCGATAGTAAAGGTAAGTAGAACCCACCCCTGGTGCACGAGCCTAACTCGCTTGCCCACAGCGTTCACAATACAGCAATTTGAAGCTCAGCTGCTTACCTTCTAAGGCAGCCCCAATAAGTAGAACAGCAGACGTGCAGAAATCAGCTGTGCCACGGGAATCAGCTGAGCCAGAAAGAAGGAAATATAGGATGGGATAGGGCGTGTGGGTGGTGGGGCCAGCTGATCGTCGGAACTATCGGTTCGCCTGAACCATCTGAACCAGCAGCAGCCCACCACTGACTATGTTACAGAAAGTTATAAACAGGTAATTTTGTCTTCTTTTTGCCTTTTCTGCACTGTTACTTCAGAACATTACAGGTAGTCCTCGGCCTATGACCACAGTGGAGCCCAAAATGCCCATTGCTAAGCAAGATGGTTGTCAAGTGAGTTTTGCCCCATTTTACAGCCTTCCTTGGCACAGTTGTTAAATGAATCGTTGCAGTTGCTTAGTAACACAGTTGTTAAATGAATCTGGCTTCCCCATTGACCTGGTTTGTCAGAAGGTTGCAAAAGGCAACCCACATGACCCTGGGACACCTCAGCCATCATAAATATATGTCAGTCGCCAAGCATCCAAATTTTGATCACATGGCCATGGGGATACTGCAGTTGTTGTAGGTGTGAAAAGTGGCCATAAGTTACTTTCTTCAGTGCCATTGTAATTTTGAACAGTCATTAAGTGAATATTGGTAAGTCAAGGACTACCTGTAGTTAATTCCCTGTTTATTGCTTTGTATTCTGTATTTGCAAAGGCTAACAGATACATCACTAGGACCAAGTGGCAGTTCCTTTGCCTAAAAACAACTAAATTGCCTCCACTCTATCTTCTTCTAACCTTTTGTTTTCCCCCCACTAAGTTATGGAGTTTAGCCACTGCCAAACATATTGGCACTTTCTGCCAATTCAGTTGTTGAGGGCCTGTTTAGAATAAGAAGCTTCTGTGGATTGCCTCTCTTTCTTGTGTGCATTGGGAAAACTCATTAAAGGATTTCAAGCAGGTTAAGCATTTCTCCTCCATGTTGTTTGCCAGGATTCTGGTGGTTGTTTCATCTTCTCTTGGAGCATCTTGCAAGGAATTGCTTTAGCTGCTATCAAAGCTGCTGGGTCAGTGCCATATCAGGCGTGCAAACAAGTTTAAAGGAATGGCTGCCATGCTTTTGTGCGGTTAGAATTGTAACATGAGACTTATATTTAATGTATTGTTTGTGGTTCGCAAAAGACGTTAGGTAGGTGATGTTTAAGCAGCTCATTACAACGGACATATATGGGACTTTTGTCTTTTTAAAAATCTGTTTTCTTAAATCGAATAAGTAAAATTGAAATAACTTTAAAAATAGAAGCTCTACCCAGCAAAGAGTCAGTTGTCCTCAGTGCTTAAGTCATAATGCTTGAGTACGTAATATATTGTAGGACTGTGCTTTCAATGGATACGTTTTAGAAATATACTTTACAAAGAGATAAACATTCTTCAAAAGACAGTGCTTATACTTATTGCTTAAATAAGTAGCAACATTATTGTAAAGCCTAATGCACTTTAAATAGAAAAGAAAATCAGTGATCCTACCACTCTGCCTTGTCAGAATGCTTCTTGAAAAAGCACATTGAAATTTCCTATCTGCATCTGAAGCTAGTCATGCAGTTATTTGGATGTCTGGAGCATGTGACTACTTGTATTTCAGTACTCCGGATTTAAAGGTGCACCTATTTTATTAAGTATTTGCATAAATAAATAACTGCTGCCAAAAGTTTGTCAACTGACAAAATATATAGGTCATTAAAAAAATAATTAAAGCACATGTAAGAAGATGTTACTGGTATTTTACCTTCAAAAGTTTTAGACATAATTTAAGAATGAGAAATCAACCAGAATAAAAATGGAACACATTAATACATGTGTTCCATGTAAATTTTTATTCAATAGGTAATCTAAAGAAAGTCACACGTACTGAAGCCATCCTGAAATTAATATAATTTCATAACAGATTCCTTTCTTGTGATTTAGACTAATTAATGATGATAATATAAAATATTTATTGAAGATTATGAAGAAACAGTCAAATTTCAGCACAATTTGGAAATACGGCACTATCGAAAATGTTTCTGACTCTTGGCTCTGCATGCAGACCAAACATTTGCAAATTACTTTCTAAATTAAAATCTGCCTGATGAGCGTTGGTGCTGGCAAAGAAAGCCGCTAGCCCTTTTCAAATGTTAATTCTGGATTTCTGCCCTGTGGTTCATACTTTTTGAGAAGGTCTGTAGATAGAGCCTGTTCTACTCAAGTCAATTTTTTACTAATAGTTTGGACCTTGTTGTGACATGGATGTGAAGGGATAAGAGAGGTGGGAGTCAATTACTTGTGGTTTTTGCTACCTCCCTTTTGTCTCTCTGATTCTGAACCCAATTGAAGACACACTTGAGGAATTTGAATTTGGTCAAGGAAGTTTTTATTTTGGGAGGGGCCTGTGAGGTAAGGTTCTAGTGACAGAGGCATCTTGTGAAGATCTGCAGGGACAAGCATGAGATGCTCAGCAGGAGTGAGCCAATTTAATGTGCAAGCAGATCTGGGACAATATGTGCAGGAGATGAGGTTGGAATTAGGCAACTCAATCAAAGGGATGAATCCTAAGAAGGTTGGAGAAGACAGAAAAAAGGGCCCGTGTATCTTATTTTTCCATGGTTGGTTGGTTTCTGTAGAGTATTGTGATTTATATTGAGCCCTATGTTTCTTCATGTTCAGATAAGGTCACACGGATGTGTTTATCTAAAACATTGCAATGCAACTGTTATTTTCACTATTTTCACTTTTTCTTTGTTTTGCCTTTGCCTTTGTCTTCCATTGCAGTGGGCTAAAAGTATATAAACTCTGCTTCTGCTTTTGCTCAGGGCTAATCAGCAAAACATTAAAGTTTTTTAGAGGTTCAATTTATACCATATTATTTTTTGCATGCATGCAACTAAGTTATGTTGTATCCTCAAATTCATTTAGTTGCTTTAGATGAGCCAAGTTTTGGCCACGACAACCTAAAGAAGCCCATGCTACGAGTACCCCCTCACCCAATTTTCCAAGTGCATTCAAAGAAGGGGTAGTACAACTGGCAAGAATATGATTCCGTTCTCCTCTCTATGTGGCTTTAATTTCCAATCCCACATTATATTAATTGCATTAATTTTTAACTAGATCCATGTCATTACTACCAAAGCTGTCATGTTGAACTACCATTATGTGGAAGAAATTTTAGAGGTTTTCATTTTTAAAAATTAAGATATCAGTATGATATTATAGTCATAAATAAATAAAAAAATTCTATACATTAGGCTCTACTTTGTATTTTCAATCAGTGATAAGAGAAGGGTTATCCTCATATTCATTTTTATAAGCAATGGATGAAAACTAATCAAGGAGAGAACCAACCTAGAATTAAGGAGAAATTTCATGACAGAACAATTAACCAGTGGAACAACTTGCTTCCAGAAGTTGTGAGTGTTCCAACTGTGGAGTTTTTAAGAAGAGATTGAACAACCATTGAAGTGGTATAGGGTTTTCTGCCTGAGCAAGGGGTTGGACTACAGGATGTCCAAGGTCCCTTCTAACTCTGTTATTCCATTAGTCTTTTATTCAGATTTCTATCACCTACATTCACTTTGAAGAGTCATCCAGATATTAAAACTTCAGGCAGGACAGTGGAGGACATTCTTCAATCCAAAATA